GCGATACAATCTGAGAGTGGATGAGTCTCTGTGTGAAAAAAAAATATGCCGAAAATGTGGATTTATTCGGAGAAACCTTTGTCTCGGAATAATCACAGCTTCTGTTTAGTGTGAATATTTCTTCACCTCGCACTTTGAGAATTTTTAGTAATGTAGAGATCGTACGGTGATTTCGTTCTAATCGATAATTCAGTCGTTGTATCGCAGTTAACCCTTTCGTGACCGAGTAATTTCTTTGAAGAATTTTTCATTTATCTGTCGATCGTAGATTGAGATCAATTTTTAATCGAGCACTCAAGTAGGACGTAATGGGTTAAACAGTGATTGAAGAAATGACAAATTTGGCTAGCAGTTCGAAATCAAAATTATTAGATTGACTATTTGCAAATTATTTTAACAGAAATATTGAGATTTTCAAAATTTCTGCTCTATCCTCGTTGACAATGTATTGGAAACCCAGTGATTACCCTATGAAAGGGTTAACGTCCGTAAAATCGAAGCATCGTATGAGAAAATATGACCCTAAATTCTCCATTTACTTTTCCCTCTACAATCATCCTCTAAGAAACTGTATCTAATTCGTTCCATCAATTCACCGACACCCTGTGCATTTCATACAACTTCAAGATCTCCAGGTTTCGATATCTCCCACTTGAAACATCTTCGTTTCAATTTTCCATCGAAATTTTACACCCACGCTATATTTCTTCCAACGAGTGCTAAACACCAGATGTAAAGTACGCGGTGTTTCTCGAGCGTTCCTCGAGATCACGCGAATATTCGTCTGATCGGGGATCGCAGCCATGTTAGTTGAGGCGCGCATGAATCTCTGTACCACGACTATCGTCCCGCGAAGACGTCGATTCGCTGATAGTTTTGATTATCGCCGGCGAGGCGTTATCACGAGGTAACACTTTGCGTGGCCAAAGTCGCAACGAGGAATCGATATTGTCACTTCAGTAACGCGTGGTGCACGCATAGCTGCTTGTAACAGATGCTACCAGCTCGTGGAAACAGGAAAGTTAATTATTCTGCGTGGAAAAGTTGAATCGAGAATGTGGTGTGACATGTTGGCTATTTTATCAATTTGTTTTCGAGAAAATTCTGTCGAAACGGGAGTACAGAACAATTTGAACAGACAAGAAGAAGGAAACGATTCTATCGAATCTCATTTTCGAAAAATAAAAATATCGATATAGTTGCTTATTCGCGAAAATTATGTGAAAATTGTCGCTTGGGAATTAATTAAGAAAGTTTCTCTGTAACTCAGTTTTGTCGATTTCCTGGAGATAAGATCCAGTGAAATGTTTTTCTTCTTCTTCTCACCTGTTCAATTGGTTAAACGCGTTGAAATATATTGTATAAGAATGCTTAGAGATTTCTATTACATTTATACGTAAAATATACGGACTGAACGTTCAGCTTAAATTCTTTTTATAATATTAACGTTAGGAAATCGGTGAAGATATATTGTCAAAGAATAACAGGAACTTTAACACAGATGTTATAAGTGTCCCTCGAGAAAATACAGTATATTTTCTGCTAGCAGATCACTCTTTATATATTTTATATATAAATACGACAGATTTATACGCGAATAGTCCACTCATTTGTAAGGTTCGTTTCCTCGAAAAGAATGTTTACAACGTTTATCCCGTACTATCGATTCTTCACTTTTCCACGCTGATCGATCATCCTACCTCGTCTATTATAGGAAACTCTGTAAACGTTAAGTATTAAACATAAAGTGTATATATAAAAAATATAAGAATGTGCTATATCTCGATCTCCTACGACTCTGATTCAATATATGATACATCTGATTCAATTATGCGTACGCTTTATCATCTCTCGGATCAGATAAAACTTGTTCTCCGCTCGAAATGAGAAAATCTCACGTGATTGCTCAATTTCTTTTTTTTTATCGCGCAAAAAATTCGAATCACTTGTCGCGATTTTCCTTCTCGAGCAGAAGGAAATTTCACGAATTTCCTGGAAATTTTGCCAACAGGTCCGGGAAACGATCAAGCGTACGCACGTAAATTATGCGTGTGTCGTGTAAAAAATGGTCCAAGTAAAAAAATAAATAAGATACGGTAAAAACGACAAATACAAACGATTTCACGGTGGTACGATTAATCGATAAAAAGCTATCAGAAATCTTCTAAAAGTAGACAGAACGTCATTTAATAATCACTTGCACAGTACACATCGATCGAATGCAGAGGAGTAGAGTGCCGCGCGTGCCATTTTTAACGTTACCCGAGGTTCACGACTGCGAGTTACAAATCTTTCCAAAATCGTTCCCTCTATTCTACGCGAAAATATGTCCAACTGGTGAATTTAACGAAAGTAAAAAAATTACGATCGAATATAAAAAATTCCCGTTGTTTCTTCCTATTCAATTAAATATATACGCACACTTCGAACTCTATTAGAAAATATGTATGTACACATGTGCTCTTCCTCGATACAACGAAAATTTAAAAGGAAAAAATTCGTCCCTTCGTTTTTTTTTTTTTTAGTCTCGCTAAGAGCCCATCACTCTATACCTACAATTAAAAAACGCTCCCAGCATGTGTTTACGTCTTTCTTCAATTAAATCTTACGGTCTGAAAGAGTTACAAAAATAGTCTCGTATTTGTCTACTTTGCTACCTGTTCACTGTCAAATGCACGATTCTCATTTTTCTTCGTCCTTCTCAACGGAATGTGTATCACGTGTGTCGTTCGTTTTCAGAGAGGAAAAAACAGGTGAAACAGAGAGGAGATGAATTTGAATGACAATAGCGAATCCTTCATTGCGGTTGCGATAGCAAGAGATTAGTACGATCCTGACTAAGTCTATCTTGTTAAAATTTCTCTCTCTCTCTCTCACACTCTCTCGCTCCCTTACTAAATCTCAGTCATTCGGTTGAAAGGTTCATCAATCACAAGGGATCCCATCGACACGGTTTTGTGCATTTCTTCGCCAACGATACGCGCCACTTTTGTAACTTAGATCCGTGTCGTGGTTTATACACGATAATAATAATACTGATTCGCCTATTCTTCAGACGAAGATCGCTCGCGAAGATCGGCAACTAGACATCTAGAGTACCTTTTACTCACATAAAAAACAAAGAGGGGGGGAAAAAGAAATGCACGCTGACATTTTATCGCATCTTACATCGAGTACACTCGATTCTTTGCAATCTTCAATTGAAACTTCGCTTAATGTTAATGCTTGTTACCATTTCATGGTACTCGTCGGTGAGATCCGTTTAACGAAATGTCGTTTCGCGTACCATGACGATTGGAGAGAAGAAAGAAGATTCGAGTGAATCGCTAAGTGAAACCATAAACGAATGAAATGTTTTTGCCGTTAACTACGATAGAACGATAGTTTCTTTCCATTCAGAATTGCAAAGAACGTAGAGCGACCTGAATAAATCGAACGCCGCGAAATGTCCCTTCGTGGAATGTTGAATAGAGTTTCTTTCTGCCGAGAAACTTACCCCGCCCCTCCACGGTGTTTAAGTGGCGTTTCGTGGATCATTACGGTGGAGAATAGAAGTGTCACGTACCCGTTCACAAACCTCCGGGAATCGCGCTAAACGTATGTGTCTCACCGTTTCGATTCACATGGTGTACTGAGACAACTGAATTCGGGGAGTCGTCAGGTTGCTGGGTGGCTCGGGTCAAGTGGTGCACCAGGCGAGGATCACCTTCTTGAACGGCACAAAGATCGCTCGATCAGGCTCGCTGAAACACAAACGGGGAAAAAATTCAACTTTTCAGTGCACACACATTTTTCCTTTGTTTTTTTCACGTCGTATTAGCGGTTTCATCGTTGGCAACGGTAAAGAAATTCGTTTTCTTACGCGACGGAAAAGGTGGAACTTGGAAACTGAGTTTTCGTGAAAATATGAAGATATCGTTAGACATCTTCGTATCAAAATAAAAAATAACTCGGGAGTGTATCTTTTAATATTATTGAAACGTAGCGTTCTATGGTAAAAAAAGTTACTAAAATACGGCAATTGTTCTAGACCATCGCAAAAGTGTTCTCTTTACAGTTTACCACCTGCCCCTGTCAACACGAAGAAAGGAAAGTTACTCGTGAGAAATTCTATCGCAACGTGCACCTCGAAGAGACGGTATGCATTATTGCAAGGCGTAACAACGGTTACGAGAGTTAAGCGGGCAGCATGGAAAGAAAGAAGAGGGAAAAAGAAAAAAAAAAGGAAACCGACGACCGGTAAAAGATCAATGTTGCACGGTTTTAGTGCCGTGGTTTGCCTTTCTCAGAAGAATCGAAACGAAAACGCCACGTAACACGTACATTGTAACCAGTGGACCAGTTGCATGAGCCAATAAGTCATTTGCATTTTCCTTGTACTTCAGCTTTAAGAGCGTGTGCACTTGAATTTTTATCACTGTGTAAATTTCACGAAATAAGGTCGAGTCACGCAGTTCGAACAGGTTTGCGCTACCTTGTTTTCCACCTGAGCTATACATAAAAAATAGTTCTATAAGATCTCTCGACGACTGTTCGACTTTTACCCTACGTCGTGCCTTCAATGCGAGAGAAGAAATAAGAGAGAGAAAAAAAGAAAAAATGAGGAACTCTGCGTGTCGATTGAATACGGTTTAACATACTCGTAATTTTCCCAGCGTGAATGATATCTTCAAGGAGATCAACGCGAACGAGTCGTTGAAATATCAATGGTTCTTTTTAAATCTAACAATTTTATGAAACACTCTATTTTATACACATGTACATTTGCAGAGGATACCTCCGTAATGTAATATATAATTACAAAATTTTAAAGATCGACGAATAGTTAAAAATCCATAAAATCGCTAAAAGTAGATCCATAAAAACTAAAAAATCCTTTACTCCTGAATTCCGCAAAATTCCTCCCCGCAAAGGCGAATGAAAAGTACAGAAAATGCGTCTATATCAATAGAAATGCATAAAAATGCAAAAATCCCTTAGAAGATAATTCACAATGATAGCACAGACCAGAAATATTCCAATTAGCACAGTAACAAATCCTTTACTCGCGAATTTCTCAGAATTCCTCCACGCAAAGGGAAACAGAAAGTGTACCGAAAACTGAGGAGACAATAAATTTCCCAGACGTTCCCTCCCAAATCGACCGTGTCTTATCAAAACGGTCGAAAGCTCCGGGAGGAATTTCCCTTCGACTCTGTTTCCACGGTTCGAGTTACAAGACGGGTCTTGAAGTAAACGCATTGTAGGTACGTTCTCGAGATCAAAATCAGAGGAGGCACACTTTCAGGGACGACGATCGTCACGCGAGCATCTCGGACCAAACTTGGAGCGATTTTCCAAGGCTCCCCACAGACGGACGTTTCTCACGATAACGTATGTGACAGGCATGGCTGGCTATCGACCGGGCCCCGCGTAAACCCAACAACAGTTTCATCCACTCTCTGGCTGTCCGTAACTTTTCGACTGCCGCTATCTTCCGTTACGCTTTTATCGCTACTTTCGCGCTACTCACCGCGAGATACTTTTATTATCTTCTCCTAGATACGGCCTCCGCAGTCTAATGATCGCGAAATATCCTGTTTCCTTTCAGACACCTCTATATTTCCACGCTTCCTCGTTTCTTCGTTATGCAATATCTCACCGATGCATAGTTAACGTCATTCTCGTATTTTAAACCGAGTATTTTATTTACAGTAATAAACACAGGATCGATGGAAAAGATAAATTAAGACAATTTCTAAATAGTCTCTACTTCGAAGACTAGAATTTATCGCGATAAATTTTTGTAGGTTACATGGTAAAATTAGCTGAGTAAAACTCAGGTGTAACTTACCGTAGTGTTTTTTTTTTTTTTTTTGTAAGAAGAATGGAGGCTAAAGGGCTTTCACCATATTTCAAATATTCCATATTTAGTGAGGTGGAAAAGGATGGAAAGGAGGAGTTAATAATGGAAGCCAGATGCACTACTGGCTAAAAGTACACAGGTTCAACCCCATTTTCACACTTTCCCTAGGCTATGATTAAAACCGCTCGTTTTCCTGTTACACACGAAAATACCAATGAAAATAATGCTACAGCAAATATGACACAACGCGATATTAATAGAAGAAAAAGATGACATGAGAAAATACAATAACGTAATGCCAGGGGGGGATTATTAAATACATGAAAGTGTATATACGCGTTTCAGATGAATAATACATCGTGGCCGAATGAACATGTTACTCGGCGTTTTGTAACGCTTCGGTTGAAGTACTATGCAGAAACATAGTTACGAGAATAGCTCGGTATACCCATGGGGCTAATTATTTCCTGATCTTTTATGCGAAATTGCATGCGCCCTTATCGCGATCAAAATACATTTTAACGCGTGGTCTTAATTTGAATTTGTATTATAGTAAAAATTGGGTCAGCCAACTTTGCATATTAATTATTATTCATCCAATAACAATCTGCTGGTGCATTTTATGTTTTTCCCCAAAATCGTATTTTTCTCGTTGGACGAACGAACGATTCACCTAACGAGATATTGTACGAAGATATCGAACGATCGTGTATAATATAGAGCATTTTACATGGTCGTCTGTCTGTACTTTTCTTCTCCTTCCTTTATTTTTTTTTACTCTCAGACCAAGAATAGAGACAAACCTCCGTCGTATGATACGCGAAGCACATCGGCTAAAGTCTCCAGTTTCAATGCTTTTCCATTCTATGCATACGAACAGAATGGTACTTTTATTTCTCATTTGCTTTAAACATTCAGCGCAGACGTATTTCGAATAACCATGCAACGAATATCCTTCGTAAAGCCATGTGAAAGTATTGTGCGTAAAATTTGAAAAATTTTCAAAACTAACTTCGAACGCCGTTAAAGGAACATTAACGAAAGCTTCGTTTTCATAAACGTTAGTCGGAGAATAAATGTACGAAAGATGTCACTCTGTGTTTCAAAGGTATTTTCATTCAATTCACTCGATGTTATTCCAATTTGCTTTGTGACCAGAGCTCCGGCAAAGTATGCAAATTTCAATACTTGCGATCATTGTTTTAAAATACCAAAATGGTACCCTGTATTTTGACAATTAATTCGCTTCAACATTCCAAATCTTTCGCGCAGCATTCCAAATCTTACCGAGGTGGAATTATAAACGTTTCAACTTTTCCAATTATCATTTCAAATTGCTACAATTAAGGAGGCTGAAGTACCGTTTCTTGTTCGATAACTACTTCTTCGCGTTAGTTTTCTTACAATCGTGTCAAGGCTTGTAAAGAGAAAAAAGAAGAAATTAGCATTCTATATTCAATTTCTGCAATTACCATTTCAAAATGTCTCAATTAAGGAGATCGAAGTACCATTTCTTGTCGAATCACTACTTCTTCGCGCTACTTTTTCAAACGTTCGTGTCAAGGCTCGTCAAAAAAAAAAAGGAGATACAAAAAAAATGAATCACCGAGGAATACCAAAATATAATTCTATATTTAACGAGCATTTTGTCCCGATTCGATCGATAATCGCTTGAATCGCGTGGCGCGGAAGACCAGTCCGCAGGAAGCGCAAAAATAGCGTAGCATTTTCGCTAGGCGTTTCTAGTTTAAATATACAGCATATCCTCGATACGGAGTTGCATACGCCATTGTATATAAGCTCGCGACGTGCAGCTCGGATCTCGTCGATCTACGGCCACGACACGGTGGAGCCTGCATTACTTATTCATTGTGTTGTCGATCGACGAAACACTTCGAGCAAAAGTGCCATTACGATGAAACGTCGTCCGTTCACATGTACCAGCTAAGTATAACATTGTACATTTTAAAAGCTACTAGGAGTAAAGATATGAAGGAAACGAGAACTGATAACTGTATGGAAAAAGTTCAACTTTAAAGACTCGTACTTCTGATATTTCGATGAAAAGAAAAATGAGTAGTTTTCAAATTTAATTCGAAAAATTCTTCCATACGGTTTCGATTAAATTTTCTTCTCCATTTCTATCGTAAAGAAAATAACGTAAAACGAGTGCTCTGTTGGTGCGAACAGATTTTAACCCTTTGAGAACGACAGACTTATTGGAGACACGTATGTTCACAAAAAAGTATGAACGCAAGCAAGGAACTCGTACATTTCTGGGAAATAGAAATAGTTGACGTGGTCGTCGACTCGTGTGCGTCTATTTGAGGAACGTGTAATTTCGATGTGATTTCATTTCAGAAAAGAATCGAACGTAAGTCTTCCGTCGGTAAGGGGTCAATTCGCTCGGAGTAATTTTCGTGTCTATTTCGACGTAAGAAACGTATGTAAATTAGTAAGTGATTGAAGTAAAACAATCTACCGAAAGAAAGAAAAATGGTAATAACTTCTATAATATTATCTTCGAATCGATAAGAAGATTGGCAAGAAATCAAACGTTACTTTCATCAAGCATAATGTCATCATTGGTTAGAAACTGCTTTTAGTGAGGCTACAAGTCGGGCCTTTAAAGGCACTTTAATAACTTCGTATTGTAAAGTCTCTAAACTGGACATGTTTAATTCATAATAATACCGTCAACTACACTTTTTCCTTCACACTGCTTCGCTTGACCCCACAAACTTCCACAAAGCAAGCTTGTTTTATGGTATAATGAAACGATAAAACACATACTATGTAATTTAACTTCTTACAACTCTCGGAAATTCTATAGTATCTATAGTATCGAGGAAACTTCGAAATCGTTAAACGTTTCTGCGAAAGCAAGAATTTTCTTTTTAATAGAAGCAGATCTTAAATACACGACAAACTAAAAGATGTGATCGAAGGATACTTCGATCCTCGAGAAGATCACACCGAAAAGAAATCGAAATAGAAAGAAATTTCCAAATTTTCGACCGACAATGTAGATAATTTCAACAAGAGACACAAAATTCTTTACTATCCCATCACACCGTATTATTTCAATTTAACAGAATCTCGACGTAACGCAAAGAGCAGCACGAGCGAGCAAGCCTCCCTGTTTCTGCACACGAGAAAGGGTGTATGTATTTCGAAAAAATTTTTAAGGCCGCTTGAAACAGCCTCTGCTCGTTATCCGGCGGAAGTGAGCGAATTACCGTTTCTTCTGCGCTGAGAAACAATAGTTGAGAAAAGTGGCGGGGAGTTATCGAGCGGCGTTCATAGGGCGAACTTTGCATTCTTCCGCGGGAAAGAGAGAGAGTAATGTGCAGGCCCATATTCGCTGCGCTGCATGTGCATATACGTGCAGGTGCATGCGCGCGAACTTGCTATGCAAGTGAGAAAGAGAGAGAGGTGTGGAACAGAGAGTTTATCGCAAGCGGAATTGCTTTTGTCACGCAGCTCGTTCTAACGTTCGGCCTATTATCTCGGGGAAAACACGATGCAATTACGAAATTAAATACGTCGCCGGGTACGATTTGGAAAAGGCTCCTGCCGCTGTTGCTGGCTGCTGGTGGCGCTGATTTAATTGAGAACTCGCCCGAAGAAGTCGTGACAGGCCGTTTTGTTCTTCGATTGCCGGCACACCGATGGGCGGCACGTTAAAAGGGGAGGAACATTGCCAAGACGTGGAGCCAAGCCTCGTAAACACCGGTAACCGAATGCATCACGAAAGCTCGCGCGGCTAAATGATCACTATTATTCCACGTAACTGCAGAAATTCGAGCAATCTACTCGACGATCGGCGTGCCTCGTTCATACGCCGCTGAATATTCCTCGTTATGGTTGTTTCGTAAAACGTATCGATTATTCTTTTAAGTTTTCCTACTTCGGCAAGCTTTTTCAAAGTATTCGCGTGATTGTTAATTGTTTCTCGTGTTGCCTAACCTTGGAGTACTGATATTAATTTCTGGTAACGTTTATGGCAATATTGGGTTGTTTTTTTTTAGCAACCTTATTAGCATGAAAATTGTAAAAATTGTTTTTTATGAGATATTGATAAGTTGATTGAATCTAACGATATTTTTAAGGGGAAAATACGAAGGGAAACATATACGTGAGAAAAATACCTTGGGGCATTTTATTCCCCATGTTGATATTCTAGGTTTAAGAAAATTACGGTCTGAGTGAAGTAGAAAATAACAGAGTAAAGAAAAATTGTGGATTTTTATTTACACTCAAATGTACTTGTTACGAACCATGATTTTTTTAGACTATTTGGTCAATTACTTCGATAAAAAGTATTTAGCTTGGACGAATTTCGGCAAGACCTCGCTTTCCCCCGATTCGAAGTTGCAACGCACGAAGTACGAATTTGTTTTCAGAAGCAGAACGTTTCGCAATTTTCAACGAAGCTCTCCCGTTCAATGTCGCTTTATTTTCATAATTAGTTATCCGTGTCAGGTTTCCTAAGCGTTTCGTTAACACTATTTTCACTGCGGTAACAATGCAGAGTCGCGACAGTGGTATTGTGTTAATGGGAACTGCTAACTGCGAAAACGCGACCAACGTTCGTTCGATAAAAGGCCTCGTTATTGTTTCAGTGAAGCAACGAGGCTCGTTCCATAGAAGTCCGCGACTTGACGCACGAACCAGTCGTTTGTACAACGATTAAATTGTCGGTGTCATGCAAACACGGTGAACAGTGTTCGAAATGAAATACCATGGCAAAAATTTGTTTTTAAATTCGTAACAACACACCGTAGAAGGTAATAGGGAGATAATTGAAAATCGTAGAAAATAAAATCATGGTAAATATGAAACTCACCAATCGAAGAATCTTCTGCCGCAAAAAGTGCCATCGGAGTATCCGTTCAAGTAGGGTAACTCTACGCCCACGTGTGTTTCATCACGACCTGGTACAGGTCCCACGTATCTCACTCGTCCTTGAAGAACTTTACCCTCAGGCGATATAACCTTCACGAGATGGTCCAGTTTGAGATCTCTTGGTATCTGTCGAGATAATGATCACGGGTCGTGAACAGAAAAATCGTATTTCGCGTGGAGAGTCTTCCGCGAAGATGCGAATTTTATTTCGAACGAGATAAACTGTAGCAAAAGTGATTCAACGTGGACAATCGGAAAATTTGTGAAACTGTCATCAACGTTTAATTCATCGTTCTATCGCTAACACGTCCGGTGGCATTTAGGTCAATTATAACTCAGGACAGTCACCTGAGATAAAATTTTTCGTCGGGTAAACAAAGATACCTTTTTCACTCGTTTCTTGAACGAACAACGTGTAAAAGAAGACAAAGGCTTGGAGTTTTTTTTTTTTTTCAATTTTATTTTCACATTCCCGTGGAATTCTTAATTTCGAGCGCAAGCATGAAAAAGTTCAAGTGTCGTTACTTCATCTTCGCCAGGTTTTTCCATTAACCCGTTAACGAAGTTCATTTCTCGGTCAGAAATTGAATCTCTCTCGAGTATTTCATTAAGGATCAGAGAAACTTTTAATTGGTCACTTTGTTCCAGTTCGCGTGGAAGACGAGTATAGTATACTTTTCGTTTAATAAAGTTCCCCGAATAAGTAAATCGTTGCATTCCAAATATTCGTCGTTCTTTTCACAAATGAACTCTCTGTACTTAAGTTAACAAGTTAATAAATAACGTTACACCGTAAACTCGCGAAACTTTTAATATTCACCCGGTAATATCAATAATAAGCACGAACTTTTGCACAGTGCCTAACCGAAATTTCGAAAACAAGAAACACTGATTAAGAAACTTGTCTAAGTAAAAAATTTAAAAAAATTAAATTTCTCACTTGTGTCGCATCGATCTTTCCACGGTGAAAAATTTGCGTTATAGTAAGAAAAGAACCCGGAGCGAAAAATGTACGATTTATGCCACTTCAATAATCACCGGCACACTTCGTCGAACAATTCAGTCTCCTAACCGTCTTAAATGTCGCATAACCGCGATATATCCTAATAAAGCGTGGTACAAAGGCGAATACGCAGAGGCAGATATTAACGAAATTTACCTTTGGCAGGTACGGTCTGGCGTCCTGTGGAGGATGCCAGTCACGGATGAGATCGGGCTCAGAGTAGCGTCGCGTTCGTCTCCGCCTAGCTGTCTGTCGGTTCCAATAATCCGTACTGACGCCGCTACTGGATATTGTCAGCATCGAGTCGATGCTCCGTCGCAAATAATCCTCCGCTTCGTCGATCAACGATTCGGTTGAGTCGCCGCTGTTATCGCCGGCCACCAAATCCGAGCGTAAGTTCGGCAAACTGCCTCGCGTCATCGGACATTCTGCAAGCAAACGTATATACGATTGATCCTTCTCATCCGAGAATCCTTTTATTGCGAATTCGACACAGAGAGAAAATCACCGTAGAAGAATTGGGAGAAAAGATATTTTTAACTGGATTGAATAATTTTGGGAGAAATTTCGATCGTTGACGAGTACAAGGGTGTCTTATTGTGAAAATGTGACAAGATAAGGGAACAAGGGATGTTTCTGAAGTTTGGAGATTGTGAATAGGTGACTTTACTGAACTCGTCCACAGGCGCACGTGTCTTTTTGACACAGAGAGAAGTGTACTTTTGGATTGCTGTGAAAATCGTTAAATTGACAGTGTTATTTTAATGTAACGTGTGTATTTTAGAAAAAAGGGGAGTGATTTTTGTGACGACGTAAGATGTTTTTATGGGGAGTTTAGTTTTGCAGGAGCAGAGAGTTGATCGAGTTGATACAAAGTACTAAAGCAATATTAAAAAGCACCGGCGTAACGTAGATTAGTTACGATCAAGTTACTCGTTCGTATCCTATAACGTTGCACGGAAACTCGAACCCGCGATACGGCTCCATTCAATGCAAGGCTGCTGCGCGCGATAGGAGGCTAATTTAGAGTGGCTGAGCTTGAAATTCAATTAATCGTAACCAGCGTGTCTCTTCTGAATTGTTGCAAATGTGGTTTACGACAATCTGTTCTTATTAAAATTAACTCTTCAAGCATCGTTTGTATCGGAACCGTAGATAAACAACCCTACTATTTCCTACTTTTCTTCAATTGACAGAAGAACCGGGTAATTCAAAAATTAAGATGAAAAATAGAATATTGGAGAATGTAAAGAATTAGAATCTATCGTCAACTTCTGTATATTTTTTAATACATTACCAACCTAAAGAATTGGAGTTGAGTAGATGTCTAAGATTGCTAAAGAGATTTGAATCGAAAAAGATGGAAGAGTGGTTCATTTTATCTAACGATATCATAAAAAAAAATTTCTTGGAATAGCGATAAGTGGCCTAAGTGATATTTTTCGAGATATACTCTTTCATACTGTGACAACCAACTTCATTTAGCTTGAAATTTTTTAACGTACACCACTTTGACACCAAAATGAAATATCATTGGTCTCGTAATCTTAAGAAAATAAGACGTTCCACAAACTCTGTATATCTCCGATTGAAAAAAATGAAAAATAAAAATCGAACGTACCTTGAAAAGTGACTTTCGATCGTGTCCTTTTCGGGACGCTTTTCGAGGTCTTCGAGGACGCGGCAGGCGGATTCACATGGGTAGGCGAGGACGGCATGGACGACCAGGTAGGTCTTGGGGTAGAAGTGGCGACAGGAACTCTCCAGGTGTCGAAGGATGCCGCGGTCGCTCTCCAAGAGTGTCTTCGTGATGGGCCACCGACAACTTCCAGTCCTGGCGACGGTATCGAAGACAAGGAGCCACGATACCGAGAGGAATAAAGATCGGTGGACAGGCGACAGTCGCATGGACTGGGAAGTCCTGTGCTGGGGTTGCAACGAGGCCAAAATCCTGCCGGAGAGCCGAGCGATTCGCGTCGGTGCACGTCCGGTGTGCGGAGACCGCAACCGCGAGAACTGAAACAAGTCTGGAGAGGAAAAGCAACATGAGCGATTATAATCGTTCTCAAGTGGTTTAAAATGTTCTTTCGATCGATTTATTAAAAATATTCAATCGGTGTTAATGTTCCTTCAACTTGGTTGAAATTGACAGATCGATTTCGTTCGATCCTCAACTTTTGTATATAATGATCAAGAAGAAAGAATTGTACTAAATAGTAAAAGAATTCATAACGTAATTGTTCGAGCATTATTATCTATAACGAAGTTAATTAATCTAATTGCGAGGAAACAAAGTGTATCTGAAGCTTCGCATGCGCCAATCTGATACAGAACATTGGTAACGTGAATTGTTTAGAAATTGATCGGTGATAATGGGTGAGAAGAAATTCAAATTGCCAGAGCTTAAGAGGTATTTATGCTTCAGCAAGGTTTTATTAATAATCCCTTTCCCTGTGTTGTTAATAATGACATTGTTAAAAATAAAGAGAAGTGAAAGCCTGGCGAGAGAGAGAGAACTCCAAGGTAAGGATGAAATTATTAGGAAAAATTCCCATGTATGGATGTGACAAGATGGTTGAAATGTTATTCTTCTCCCGTGCGACATTGAATCGCAAGTTCTTCCCGTTGAAAGAGAAAAAAAAATCCGCCGATTGATTTTTCGAACACAGAGAATCGGTTCCACGCATTTTGTCGACGCGATGCGCATTGGAAACCGGTAGTGTTGTAAAGAAACAAGACGAAGACAAGCAATTAGTCACCCATGTTGGCGAATAGACGGTGGAATTGCGACGGACGCCAAAGTAAATCACATTAGCTTCGTTCGCTCGACCTTCTCCCACGCACATTGTAAACCTTTTTCCGTGTGTGGTCCACCCACAGATGAAACGTTTGTTATGCGTTTCAAGAATAGTCTACCACGTTGACAGTTTATTACGTACAGTTTCCACACACATTCTTGCATGCGTTCTGATTGTCTTCTACGTAATACCCATGAGAAACGGTTTCAAAGACTCTCGCGCCTTTGCTTTGACAGAAAAGTGTTTCAGCCTTTCGTTAAGAAATATCTTAGTTTAAGTTCGTGAAAATTGATCTCTTTTTTTATTAGTCTACGAGATAATTTAGAGCGGCTGATTGCAACAATTTTACGTCAGGATATGTATGTAATTATGTTAAGAAACATTTGTCACCAACATTTTTCCCTCGTATGTAAACCTGTTGTTTCATTCAACGTAATAAATAAAGAAATTATTAGACACCAATAAAATATTATTTTATTATCCATTAGTTGTGCGTACAAAATATTCATTGGTACCTAAAATGTAACGAAAATTCCACCCGGTACAACAAGGTATCTCTAAATGAAACTATAAGATAAATCACTACATAGGTAATCGAAGAACAAATGTACCAAACTAGAAAACTACTGCATTGAAGTGGAAACGTATTAATGTGTAGATATAATAGCAACAATCGAAACCTGATAATATAAAGTGAATTCAATTAGTAGGAAACCTGCGATCAGTTAGATAATGGAAATCGATTTGACTGATACGAAAATGAGAACCACGAGCACGTAGGATACGTACTAATTACAATACCAAAATTCATACGATTCAATAAGATTCATCCCCGGGTCAAGGATTTCGAATCAGACTACTCCAGATCGTGGAACCTTGAATCAGATTGCTTCGAGATTGTAAGCGCCTTCACGTTAAGATTCATCCTTGATTATTCCAGGGTTAATAGACCCCTATTTCCGTGGTCAGAAGTTATGCAAACTCGAGTTTATAACCTCAGAGTCGTAGGACTTTAAACTCGAAAATTCTGGAGTTATAGAATCCACCGTGGATCATTTAATATCGTGCGACTTTAGAGCCCGAAACTTTGGATCCTGGCCTTTAGATTCCAGATTCTATATAGATCTTCAAACTCTCGATTCAAACTGTGGACTACGAATTTTCGATTCTGGATTCGAAACTTTCGACTTTGGACCACAAATCCTGGATCTCAGATCATGGATCTTGAGGTTATCGAAGGCAAAAAATCCCAAAATCCAGAAATTGTCCAAAACGTTCCATTTTGTATTTGTTTAGCTTAGAATTGTTCAGTTTGAATCTTTCAACACGCCTCCCGTTATACCGGAATGATCCAATTGGAGATTCTCGTCTCCAGGATTATCCGATTCGAGTTCCACGTCCCCCAAATCACCCAATTCAAATCCCACGACACTGGAGTGACCTGATTCAAGTCGTAAAACCTCGGAATGGTTTCGATTTAGCTTCCACGCTCTCCGAGTGATCCGATTTGGCTTCTCGGAATCTATCACTATCGGGCATCATAATTTCATGACATCGCAGCTTTTACTCTTTCACACAAGGATGAACTAATACTTCGCAATTCACGTTTATCGACGATAAATATTCTTTATTTTATTTCTCAAGCTTGAAACTTTAACCAAACTCCATGATTCGTGCGAACGACCAATTTATCGTACACTTTTCCCAATAAACTACTATCGTTATCTCTTCTCTGCCACAAAATAATACTACGTTACTCGTGGCTACAAAATTATGAGGATTCTGATCCCAATTCGGATCCTACCTGTGCGTGTGGATCGTGGCAGAGATGATCGGCGCTTCTGGACAGCTCCGGCACCATACTTGTGAAATTGATGTCCGACAGCATCACTCTTCTGGCTTCTCGGGTCTTGTCGGACAAACGAAGTCTTCCAGACACCCCGGCCGGCAGAGCAAATTTACTGGGTAACGTGGTGAACGTGTGAGCCACTTTGTGCGCGAGATAGCTCTCGGAACGCCAGTGAGCTGGAAGAGCAGAAATATCTGTCTGGGCGCCAGATTCTCGTCTTACGCCGCTGATTCTGTCCATCACCGGTCTCAGTGGTGCAGCACTCTTTCGTCGACTGCCTGTTAGTGCTTCACGGTGGATGATTGGTCTGCAAAGGGAATAATTATTTAACTCTTAACGCGCTGGAGCGATAAACACTTTCAACATTCGTCGCAACATCGATAACGAAGAAAAAACATTAATTTTTATGCTTATGTAAAAAGTATCAAGGTATTCGCACAAAATTGAATTGTTATAAAAACAGAAAATCTGTAGGGTATGTTTGTCAGGTTTTTCTGGTGAGTTATGACTTAAAAGGAAGTTTATTCGAATAGGAAAATTGTGAAGCGAATGGAACGATTCGTTGAACACCTTTAGGTGTATTATCAGTGTCGTGTTAAAAGATGGCGAACGTTAAACTCGCAATAACAGAATTTCACATTGAATTACGGCCAACTTTGAGCCATTAACAGCTCATCATTGACTCTAGAATGCCATTAGACCCTGGACCAACAGTAGCTTTACGAGACTAATTGAATTTCCAGTCTTGTGATTCGGTCAAAATCAAAGCCAATTTCTGATACGACACTTTCCTAAGCAACTTTGAGCCATTAACAGCTCATCATTGACTCTAGAATGCCATTAGACCCTGGACCAACAGTGGCTTTACGAGACTAATTGAATTTCCAGTCTTGTGATTCGGTCAAAATCAAAGCCAATTTCTGATACGACACTTTCCTAAATTCACTTGCTCGATGAATGAACTCTACCTCGAAGAAAGAGACAATAACGAAACAATAAACGAACATTTCGTGGGCAAAATTAAAGATTAAAATTGCACAAACGAAGAAGCACATTGTTACAGTAATGCAATGACTATATTTTAGCTACAAATGGACTTAACGCGGCACAGAATAAAACGATGAGCAGACAACTGCGTTTAATAAGTGGTAACATAATTAAATTGCATATACAAGCAACACGTGTAGATACGAGTATGAGCAGGAAACATGATTAAAGTGTCGTTACGTTTTATGTGTACGTATCAGTTGTTACTACGATGCTTCGCATCTGGCAAATTGCGGTGCGCTAAAAAAGAGTTGGAAGTAAGTGAAAACGTTTTATAGCTGTTAAGTACCCAGCGGCTAATTAAAGTACTTTCGACGAATACATGCATATATTGGCGTGAGAGTCTTTCATCGGTTGAAGAGCTCTACGAGATGTAAAACACCCGTACGAGCCTGCTATATCGCTCTTTCCTGTCTTTCTTTCTTGTATCAACTACGAGAAACCTATAATGTTCGATCAATTCCGCCCTTAATTATAAAAAGAAAAGCATACCTCAGAGAAGATTCGTGAAAGTTAAAAGCCATCAGATATGTCTAAGAATTTTCATACAAAGAATGGTCATTGTATTTGAACGTTTCAACGTAACTTGAACAAGGAGACACGAAGAGCAACAAAACTCTCCGACAGACCCACCGATGTCACAGTGCCGTACAGATTCAGTAGAAAGAACCTACTGTGCGCAACAGACGTACAAGCTGAAAAGAAATCGATACACAGTGAACGGTAAAAAAAGCCACCCGTTACCTGTAAGCGGTGGGTGGTGCAGCCAAAGTGTTCCTCCTGACCGCGTGTCTGGTGATGTGTTCCGGCTCTTCAACCACGCCGCACTTGCTGATGTCTGTCTCGACCAGCACCGAACACTGCGACCACATTTTATTCAGCCTGGTGTTAGAGCTCTCGTCGAATCTGTCCACGCTCTCCTCACGATCGATGCTCGAACTCTGCGAGGAAACTGCCTCCTCGACAGAACTGGTCTTCTCTCCGTTGCAAACCAGAGATTCACCTTCAGACGACTTAGTGTACTTCAGCAACACTGGTTGACCAGTGGGCGCAGGCTGTGGCCAGGATTCTGTCTCGGTTATAGAGACAAGATCCTCCTGAAGACCGAGGTCCCGACAAGTTTCATCCGTCGTGAATATCAGCTCGATGTCGTCGAGCTCTTCGGACTCATTCTCAGACTGATCGTTCGGTTTCGGTTGATCGGCAGTTTGATTCTGACGTTGTAGTTGCTGCGACACTTGCGTGTCTGGATTATCGCTGAATACCGAATTATCACCGTCCGAGACGGACTTGAGACTCAGATCCTCGAGATCTTTCTCTGGTACCTCCAAATGATCAGCCTGCGATTCATTCACGTCCTCTTCTTCGATGTCTTTCGACTGTCTGTCGATCAAAGGGGACGTCACCTCGTTAGCAGCAGTAGCACTTTTCACCGTATCGTCCAAACTGGCACCGGACAGTCGCGATTTAAGCATTGCGTCCTTCGACATCGTGCACTTAGACTTCTGATCTCTGGATTCCGATTTGGTCAACGATACTGCTGCATCACTTCTCGATGTTTTCTCGAGCGTGCGTGACTGCAAATCAGGATTCTCGTTGTCAGTGACGGTGGCGTCCGCGTCGATGATCGGTTTAGATGCCTCCGGCACGTCCTCCGCGTCGACTTTGTCCCTGGACGCGTCCATGAGTACGCCTGCTTGCTCTGACAGACTGATACCGTTCACGGGGTGAGAATGACAGCGAGAATGCGACCGCGTATGCACGCTACACGTGGTTATTAATAGGTGCATCGAGAACGGGACGCGTTCCTTTTAATTAACGCTAACGCCGCGGAGCATCGCCGTTTAGCGATGCAAGCTGTTAACTACCAAATTACGCGAATCTGCTCGACCATTGTCGTGAAAAGTTTTAACGATCAACGTGGATAATTTGGTTTTTTTGTTTTTAACGAAAATCATATGTAAATTAGAAATACGTTTTATCACTTTGCACACGTGGATTTCGTCTTTGCTCGTGGCGATTGTGTTAACTCCCGGAGTTACGAAATCAAATCTCGGCATAGTATCGAAAAATGATTTGCATTCCTAAAATTTCATTTCTCTTTCCGTCGTTTCTACTCTTCGTATATACGAGACATTTCGCGTGATTCGTATGCGATACAACGTCGAGGTGTTTTATATTTTTACAATTACATATTTCAGAGAACAAGGGACTCGTCTGCAATTCCTCGATAAATATCGAAATTCAACGGAGGAAATATTATTCACGAGCCGCGAACAAAGTTCTGTTGAAAGAAGAAAAAAAAAAAACTATGAAATATAGGTTGGTCTATACGAAATACGTAGAATGATTTCGAAAAGCGTAGATGAAACTGGGAGATCGGCCGTTACAAAGGAAACGAAATCCGCAAACGAACAGTTAATTGCTCACAGAGACGCATTTCGAGACTCACTCTTTGACGTCCTCTACTGCGAGTGGAAAAAGACGAGCCTGAGGCGGCGGGCTTGTGGCAGCATCACTAGAAAACTCACTGTTCCTGCTTAGGATCTTCCGCCTAAGAACGTGATTCTCGAGAGCGAGCCTCTCGACGACGTCAACGTAGCTCTCGCCAGAAAAATCACCGACGCTCTCCTTAAGACGGCGAAGCTCTTCCCGCGAGGAATCCAGAGCGGAGCGCAGTGATATTACAGTCTAGAAAAGTCATTAAAAAATCACATTTACCAAAACTCTATTGAATATTAAATTTTCATTGAAAAAATCGAAATATTTTAATTATGTTAACCTTAACGTTAAGATAAGGTGCCAGAAATGAGGCATTTCGTATTTTCAAAGAAATTGTTCTTATTATTTACAATAGTGCAAGTTACATTTTTACCGGAGAAACAAGGAAAGTGAAAGAAAGTAACTAAAGAATATTAAAGGGTGAAATACTGGAAGATCTTGATCAACTAACAATAAGTTAAATGTACCGCGGTGATTATGAAAGATTATCTCGAAATGAAAAATATATCACTTAGGCCACTTTCTAATCACCGGATGAGATAGAAAGAAAAACAACGTGCCATTAGTTTTGAATGTTGCTCTTCGGTGGTTGGAAATTTTGTTCACGGTGAAAGGTTGCCGTGACAAAGCACGTTTAAGTGCAAAATTGACAAAATAAAAAGAGAGAAGTGTAAGAAGAAGTGTGCAGATATATCATAAGAAAAGATAAATTTCCTGTCGTGCAAAAAGCCTATTATACACACAAAATATACTTTCAATCATTTCTCCTCGAGTCTCACGACTACCCGCTGAGTTTAGATTTATGCGACTCGTTTCGGTCCCGGTTAAGCCGGTTAATCGGGGTCCTACGGTATTATGAAGATCTGAAGTTTAAAAAAATTCCAAAAACGTTCGGTGGTAAAAGATTAGAAGTAAGGTGAAAGATCTCTGAACAGCGTATCGGGTAACATTAACCTTACAGAATTGTAACGTCGTTTTCTTAACAAAACCCTCTATGCCTATCATTGGCAATGCTCCAGCATTAGTAATCTGACGAATAGACAAAAATTTTTTTTACACATCTCTATTATCATATCGTGTGTTGTTGAAAGTTGGTGAAATTGCCAAATGATTAGAAATTGTTTTATTTCGTCGTGCAATTACAGGGACGACAATTTGTCCCGACTCGTCACGTTCGAATATGAAAGCGGAAACTCGTGTCGTAAATCTTTGAATCGACAATGATATCTGTGATTACAGAGTTAATAACGCCGTACCAAGACAAACCGTACACGCTTTCTAAAGCAAATGGAATCTCGAGGGAATAACGACAAAGAATAGACCTACTAGGCGCTCTTGAGGGAGAAAAATGTCGGCGAAATCTTAGCTTTAAAGGTTATAATGTACGTGGTATAAATTGGGCAGCTTTAACGGATGGTTATAAACAGCTTTCGATTCGTCGATCCTGAAAAAAATTGACTAGCAGCAAATGTATAAAACGTGATTCAATTTCACGACAAGATTTTTTACACAAATGTTTAACAACTTTGCATACTTTACGATTGTAAAAAGTAACGATGAATTAAAAAAAGAAAGAAGTAAAATAAAGAAGAGAAAAATAATTAGATTTGAAATGTACACATTTCTAACTTCACTCCCGGATGATTATCGTAAATAATATAAACATTTTGTAACATCGTGAAAGATACTTCGATAGTGCAGAATCTGAATTGATCAGACAAGACAAATGACATATACCCCTTAATCCGATCGGCCTTGAACGTATATAAAGGAAACCCAGCATCATGGACTACCCAAGGTCAAGGGATCACGGGGGTAAAAAGATCGAAGAAGAATGAATAGCATCGAGTACATGAAATCGATGGCTCAAGTAAGGGTGTATAATGTTACCTGCTCCCTTGCCAAGCGCCGTGTCATCTAACCAATCATACGTATATATATGCACACGTGCACGTAGGGAAATAAAGTGAGTCAACGGTGGCATGTACTTTATAACAGCATTTCTCTTTTTATATAAGAAAATTAAACTTGATTTGTGCTGTAAAAGATAAGCATTGATTCTAATTCAATGGTATATCATTTTCTCCGCACTGCCAAACAAATGTTTGTAGTATACAAATTTACGTCGTATTTACGTCGTATTTACGTTTTAACAAACCGTACTTCACTACGTAGAAAAAGCGGGAAAATATCAAATAGTATTAGGAAAATAGGGAGGAATAAGATGAACGCAAATCGATAAAAATCGAATTGTTATAATTAATTATAACGACATTGGTTAACATGAATTAATTGAATTGTTGCGGTTCAAACCTGATGCAAAGCTCTCACAACGTCCAGTCCGGGGATTCCCGGGGATGGCAGGGTAAGCTGCAGCCCCTGATGGTGAGACTGCCGGCCAGCTTCAGCTTCCATGCCTCCTCCTCCCCGCCCGATATTTCAAACGAGATCTTGCCACCGCCACAGATCATGCCGAAACCGTCTTTCTCTTTCTCCGTTTCACCACTTCGGTTACACGATCTCACCGATTCGAATCGATCGCGTTATTTCCGTTATCGCACACACTCGAGACCAGCAATCGATTATTCCCTTGCTCGAGCTCGAATCTTTAAAGGAAAGACCGAACGAACGATCAGATGATGAAATATCACAAACAATAGTCTTAATTCTTTCTTTTACTTTACGAAAAGGATGCGAAATCGAACACAAAACAACAAGAACACCCTTAAAATATAACGCTATAAATAAAACCGAAAATGTCAGAGATAGTTAATACACGGGACGCTACCTGCTGCGTTATTTTAGACACGAAATTAAGAAGTTAGGTAAACCATGATTTCTTAAGACGTCAACTTCAGACACGTAAAAAAAGAACGATGTAAGAAATCTGTCGATGATGTTGTTTATGGACAAACAATAAATGCGAAGCATAGACTATAAACAAACATCACACTTTTTCGTCGTTGCTCGAAATACTACCTTTTTGCGTCGTATATGAGTTTCAATGTGTCGCGAATTTTCTGCGCGCTACTTTTGATTTCTAAATAATTTGCGTGATATAATTTCGTTAGTATACGTGGTAAATTATCTTTTAATGGATCTTTTAATCTTTTGAATGGAATAATCTGTTTCTATTGTTACATTGAATAGGCATGATATTTATGTGAATTTGATTGCTGATAAATATCATGTCTTTAATGTACTGCGAAAAATGAAATCTATCGAGAATGTACAAATGCGAAGTTGTACAAAATAAATTTAAACGGCCACAAACCAATGCTTAAAAAGACAATTATTAAAACTGCGTTCAGAAAATAAGAGTTTTTTTCTTATTTAACGTAAGATTAGATTAAAACTTACTTTTTATACAAGTTTTTTAAGTTGCATCGAGACGATGATATGAATCGAATATCAGTCAAAAAAATTGCTAGTTTTCTTTAGAAAATGACGCCGTAGTTACTACGCGTAATACCATACGGATTGATTCACTTTTACACACGCACTTTATCGTTCACTGTCCGGAATATACTACTAACGAGAACATCGTTTACGACGATGCTTGAACAGTGTTTTCCAGTAAGCAGTCATTGTTAGAACTACTAAACGATACTAATCAATATGGAACAACCGGAAGGTTTAGAGACACCACTTTAAGCGTGATCGCTAAGCGTTTAAAATCTATTAATCCTATGTAATTATACTTCCTCAAACACCGCGATTATCATTTAATCCTGAGTTTTCTTTTTCTGTATACACAATTCACCAAAATCGTTTGATTAGAGTTTTCATACCAATTAAAATGTTCGCTTATATTTTAATCTTAAATATATGGAAAATTACTTTTTTGTAAGTACGACGCGGCAGAGTAATTTTCATACGAATGTCAACAATATAGCTCGAGCTGTCACTTGCCCTTTAATGCAGACGACGGGATAGAAATACATACCCAATTACCAGGCTTGCCAACGTTATGTGATGCTACTCACACGACAAGGGGCATTTTCACTAGGAGATAAATGGCAAATATCGCAAAACTTAATCATTTCCTTTTGTCACTGCACATATTGGCGCGGATACAATAACAATTTGAGCTTAAGTTAATATCATTTTATTATCATATATTTACAAAACATAGTACTCTTGTGCTTTTATATAACAAAAACCAAACTTGCACATTATAAGGTGAATTAACATTAATATAGTTCGAAAATTATTGTTCCATTGAAATTGTTACTTTACCTTCTTGAATTACTATGTATGGATAATATTATATGAATAATTTAATCATTGCAAAATAAATTCATTTTATTTACAAATCTACCCTGCAAAGTTATTTGAAAATCAAATATGCTGCCGGAGTAGTAAGAAACGTGTATACATATATACGGCAATCTGTCCGCGCAAAGTTCGGTTTTATCCGATTACACACGAGTGCACTATTATTCGTGACGTTGACATTACACTGTGAATAATAACAGTTAAAAAATAAGAGAAAAAAGAAGAAGTTTCTATAAAAACGCAGTAAGGACGTAATGTGCTTTATGAGAAGTGTATTCTAATTGAAGAAGTAGGTCCACTTCGTAAGGATGGAATATAAAACAAATTTAAGCATTTCACTTGTAATTTTCCTGCATTTATCCGTGTTAAATTGTACTCACTTGACAAGAACTTATTTTAAAGATGTATCCAGGAATAATGGTGAAAGTATACCAAATATTAGTTGGCTATTCAGCAATTCTATTGACAGTTTCGATAGGGTTAAGAGAGCAGTCATAGCCAAAGGCGATTTATCCGATGATAGTTTCTTAAAATTTATTAAAAGTTCTAAATGTCGAAAAAATTTGAATAACTTGTGCGGCAATATAAGTGAAAATAACGATGAATTAATGTTGTTAGAGTGTATTCAAAACTTTAAGGTATAACTTTTAATTACTCATAATTAATAAAAGTTATTTTATATGACAGAGTACATAATGAAGCAGCCAAAAAAAGTTATTAAGTTTTTTAATGATTTCTTTATTTTACAGCCAACTGAAGTATCTGGTATTGATGATGAATGTCGTCAAGCAATTTGGGTATACATCTTAAATATTACTGATAATTTAAATATAGAGCGTTTAGCTAAAAGAACTTGTGGCAAAGAGTTAGACTTGTTGGATTGTTCTGCCTCTGGTGACAAACATGGAGCATATCTCTCTTGTTTAATTGATCAAAGGGAAAAAGTAAAAAATCCACAATGCATTACATACATTCAAAGATTAGAATGGATTGCATTTAGCGATTTTAGAATTATAACACCATTTTCTTCAGACTGTGAAAATGATATTAAAAAGTTTAAATGTGATAATAAACTACCATATAGAGACATATCTCAAGGACAAATATTAGCTTGTTTACAAGAACATGTCAATGAACTTCAACTTCAATGTAAAAGACACATACTTCATGTGTCTGAAATACAAGCTGAAAATATCAACTTGGATCGACAATTATATTTGGCTTGTGAAGAAGATCGTACAAAATTCTGTCCAAGTATTAGACCAGGCAGTGGTCAAGTATACAAATGTTTAATGCAACATAAAACAGATAGAGCTATGACATCAGTATGTCAAGAACAGCTCACAAGAAGAGGAAAACTAATAGCATCTGACTACAGAGTTAGTAAAGGATTGGTTAAAGCTTGCAAAGATGACATTAAAAGTAATCATTGTAGAAGACCTGTATTTGAAGATAAAAACATAAGACTTGCACAAATTCTTCTTTGTTTGGAATCAGCAGCAAAAAATGGTAGTAAAATCGATAGAGATTGTCAAGCTGAAATGTTTGATCATAGAAAACTTTTAATGGAGGATTATAGATTATCTCCTGAAATAGTAGATGGATGTGCTAATGATATTACAACATTTTGCAATAGTCTGGAAGTTGGTGGAGCAACAATTCATTGCTTAATGGAACATACTAGAACAAAAAGAAAAAAATCACGAGTGTCCAGTAGATGTAATAATAAATTGAATATCATTTGTCATAATAATAGTTAGAGGAACTAATAATGGAAGCTGATGCTGGAGAAGATTGGAGAATTGATCCAGTTTTACGAGAACAGTGCCAACCTCTTGTCAATTTAGCTTGCAGGGATGTAAGAATTATTCTATTAAATATGAAAACAACAAAAAAAAAATCTAATTGAAATTTAATTAAATTACATAAATAGTAATATATACAATTGAATTTAAATCTAGATGCATGGAGGTGATGCTAGAGTAATATCCTGTTTAATGGAACAGCTTGGTACAGAGAGAATGACAGAAGCTTGTGAGACTGCTTTAGTGCAAGTACAATATTTTGTAGCTAGAGATTTCAAATTGGATCCGCAATTGTATAGAGCATGTAAATTTGATGCCACGAGATTATGTCATGCAAGAAACGCGTGGGCTAGTGATGGAAAACAAATGGACCCAGAACGAGGACCCCTTATTTTACCATGTTTATATAGACATGCATATCATCCTCAGAAAAATTTGACAGTAAAAATTTACTATAAATAAACTTATGAAGTGCTTCAAGTAAATTGTATTACATGAAAGCTAAAAATTTATTCTTGAATTAATTTATTTCAGTTGAAAACAGACTGCCTTGAAGAAATTAGACGTGTTATGCGACAGAGAGCAGTAAACGTTGATTTACAGCCTGAGATTGAAGAAGTATGCTTGAATGAGTTGGCATCATTTTGTTATGACAAAACAGCAAAAGGAGAGGAAATATTATGTCTTCAAGATAATCTAGATCGGTAATAACAGATGCATTCCAGTATATGGAAATTTATATTATATGTTTTTAATTCATGTGTTTGATACGCAGTTTGACTAAGAATTGCAAATTAGCAGTTGGCAATTTTACGGAAGAACAAGCCGAACGCGTCGAATTAAATCCAATCATTTCTGCTGCATGTCAACACATCATGGAACGTCATTGTGAGGTGGAGTAAAACTTAAAAAAAAAAAAAATGAATTAAAGTATTAACAAGTTATGTTTATATATATGTATAGTGCTTAGTTATATTTATATAAGATATTTCAAAAACAGGAAGTATTAAAATACGGTAAAGATGAGGGTGACATGATGGAATGTTTAATAGAACACAAAAACGACTTGGATGTACGATCTGATTATAAGTGTAAAACAGCAGTGGAACATTTCCAATTGATATCATTAAAAAATTACCACTTTACATATAAATTTAAAGAGGCTTGTAGACCTTCTGTTAAAAGATGGTGTCCAAAGTAAGTACACTTATAATAAAATATTTTCAATGTAACAGACAAATTTTTAGCACAAAGAAATGTATATATTTAATATTTAGATCGAAAACTAAAGCGGAAGTAATAGAATGTTTAAGTACAATAGTGCAAGAAGATATAATGAAAGACACACAGCATCATATACCAAAAGAATGTAGACAACAATTAAGAGCACAACTTTATCAACAAAGAGAAAACATTCAATTTGATCCTATCTTACAGACACAATGTACAACTGACATCAAACAGTATTGTTACAATGTTGAACCAGGAAATTCGCAGGTATCGCATTTACATACCCTATTGAATTATTGCACTTCAATATTTTCAAATTTTATATTAATATTAATAAAAACATAACCGTTTTAGATCCTCGAATGTTTAGCCGCACATAAATCAAAATTATCAGATGCATGTCACAAACAATTGTTTAAAGTAAGAAAACAAGAATTTCAAGATAGTTCAAGTGATTTTGCTTTATTAAATAGTTGTCACTTAATGGTAAGGCAGTTCTGTCATGATATTAGTCGTTCACAAGCATTAGATTGTTTAAAAAAATATAAAGACGAGCCAACATTTGATGATAAATGCAAAAATATTGTTATTCGAAGAATGATTGAACAAAATACAGATTATAGATTTAATACTGCACTACAAACAGCATGTTCATATGATATCAATAAGCATTGTAAAGAGGTAAGTTTAAAAACATCTTATCCATAATGTGTCATTGCAGTCTTATTGTATTACTGTATGCGTAATTTTTTCCTCTTAGGTTTTACTGCACGAACCTACCGATAAGGAGCTTGAAGGGAAAGTTATAAGATGCTTAAAAATTAAATTTCGCGAGGCCAAACTAACAACCAGATGTGAGCATCAAATGACTAACATACTTAGAGAAGCAGCTTTAAATTATCATTTAAATCCATTGTTAGCTACAATGTGTGCACACGAGGTACTTTATTAAAATATTTTCGTAATAAAATTTGTTTAGTCTAGTATAATCATTATTATTTATTTGGAATAGATTGAAACTATCTGTAGAGCAGATGAAAATGATCCTGGAGCAGTAGAAGAATGTCTGAAAATGGAATTTAATGCTGGTAATAGAGTCATGAAAGAAGAATGTCGTCTTGAAATTGCCGACTTAATAGAAGAAACAAGAGCAGATATTAACGTTGATCCTTTGTTACAAAAAGCATGTGCTGTTGATGTTAGTAAATATTGCAGTGACGTTCCTCAAGGCGCAGGCAGGCGTACGTTAAAAAATTTTTACATAAATATATATATAAATTTATAAATTTATCTCAACTATTGATAGTATCGACTCAACAAAATGTATATATATATTTTTTTCTTTTTTTTTCTTCTTTTTTCAGATATCATGTGTCTACAAAATGTATTAGAAGACAGTAACAAATCTTTACAACCTGATTGTTTTAAAATGTTAAATACAAGGATTGAAATGTTTAGAAATGCGGCAAAGGTAATAAATTTCATGCATTTTGCGTTATTTAGAAAAATGATGAAGTAACAGCTAAAAATGTTTAACACATTTATTCAATCATAATATACTCCATGATATATGTGTACATTTTTATTTTTAGCTAATTCTACCAAATTCGATACAAGAACTATATACATCGGTAAATCGATCTCCTGCAAGACGATACTTTATGATTGTTGCGTTAACGTTAATTGGCATAATTTTCATCACCGGTTTATTTTGTGGAAGAGTGACGAGACGAACAATGATAATGAAAAATAAGTGATAAATTATAGTGAAAAAAGTCCGTCCTCGAAGATACTCAATCGCTCTAATTAAAAAGAACAAAATCACGATAAAGTAAACATCGAAAATTAAAAAAAAAACAAAGTGACTATACTGGTGACCTTTCTGCAAGATATCAAACTGTGCAAAATATTACCGGACAAAAAATAGTAACTTTTTTATATTTTTTTTTAATATATATAA